TTTTTTTTTTTTTTTTTGTGGGGATGAGACCTTACTATGTTGCCCAGGCTGTCATAACATATAGCTATGTTATTCAAAGTCACCAATGATTTGCATATTGCTGAGTTTAAGACTTAATTTTTAGGTCAACTCTCCTGACCTATCAAGCATCATTTGACAGTTATCTCCCTCCTCCATAAGACATATTCTACATCTAACCTCCTGGTTTTCCTCCTACCTTACCGCCTACTTCTTATCCTCTCATCTCCCTGCTTCTAGCTTAGTCCTTGGAAGAAGAGGAGGAGTTGTTCTTCTAATGATAGCGACAACAAACATTTATTGAGGTTTACCATGTGCCAGACACTCTGCTAAGTACTTTGTTTATTTTATCTTCTGTAGAAACAGGTTCTTGCCCAGGCTGGTCTCAAACTCCTGACCTCAAGTGATTCTCTCTCCTTGACCTCCCAAAGTGCTAGGATTACAGGTGTGTGCCTCCATGCTCTGCTCTCCTTGGAGTTCTTCACCTGTGCCCATGACCCTTGATGATCTCACCTAGTTTCATGGCTTCCAACATGTTCTCTACACTGACAACTCCCCAGTAATCTCCAGTTTACTAGCACTTTCTGAGTTCCAGATTGATGTCAAGCTGCTATTCAGTTTCTCCACTCAGATATCTAATGGGCATCTCAAAGATGTCTAAACCTAAACTCCTACCTTCCCTCCCCCAAGTCTGCTGCTCCCATAGTCTCCTGCATCTCAGGAACTCCATCCTTATAATTCAAGCCAAAAAACAGAGTAATTCTTGACTCTTTTCATATTCCATGCACAGTCTGTCAGCAAATTCTATTGGCCTCACCATCAAAACATATCCAGTACTTGATCAGTTCTAACAACCACTGGCACTATCCTACTCCAAGCCACCAACATCTCTCACCTGGAATAGTGCAGTAGCCTCCCAACCAGTCTTCCTACTTCCATTTGTCCTCAGTATAGAAATCAAGGTGACCTTTTAAAATGTAAGTCAGATTGTGTCATTCTGTCTCAGTCTTCCCTTGGGTTTTCGCTCCACGTAAAAGCCAAAGGCGTAACACTGGCCCGCCACACCCTACATGACCCAGTCCCCAGCTGCCTTTCTGATTCCTTTCTTACCTCTCTCCCCCCTTGCTTACTCCACTGAAGCCACCCCAGGCACACCTGGAATGACCATCACCAGATGGCTACGTGATTTGCTTCCTCACCACCATTAGGTCTTTGTTCAAATGTCATGTCCTGAAACCTTCCCTGACCAACTGTTTAATTTGCACCCCCATTCCAATGCTAGCATTCCCTAATCTCTTTTCCTACTTTACTTTTTGTCATAGTACTTTCCATAGTCCTTCTGCCATACTTTCCATTTTTCTTATTTGGTTGTTGTTGTAATCCATTACATGGGTTTCCCACTAGAACGTAAACTCCATAAAGGCAGGAGTTTCTGTCTTCTGCCCACTCCTGTATTCACAGTTAACAAAAATGAGTGAATACTGGCCTTTATTGCTGTTCTTGAGCAGGTTCCCTAGACTAGGGTCTGTGGCCGGCCTTAACATTCTGCCTTGTGTCCTAGCTTTCTGAGGATGGAGCTGTCCTACCCTACCTTGTCAGCCTACTTTCACTGCCTCTGACATGGCTGTGTCTGTTGTTCTTTTTCCTCAGATACTTACTCTCATTCCTCAAGTGAAAACGGAGGCAAGTCCGAGTCCGTGGCCAACCTACAGGCCCAGTCCTCCTTAAACTCCATCCACAGTTCCCCTGGCCCCAAACGCTCCACCAACACCCTTAAGAAATGGCTGACGAGTCCCGTGCGTCGACTCAACAGCGGGAAAGCGGATGGAAACATCAAAAAGCAGAAGAAAGTACGAGATGGTCGGAAGAGCTTCGACCTGGGATCTCCCAAGCCTGGGGATGAGACGACTCCTCAGGGAGACAGTGCTGATGAGGTACTTACACAGGACCCCAGAGCCTTCCACTAGGAGGGGACTTCTGACATGCCTCTTTCACAGGTTTTGTAAACTAGGCTGTCTTCAGTCTCTAACATTGTGTCATCTTGAACCTATGTGATTTGAGTTCTTTTTACTCAGACCATGGCCAATTTGATTTGTGACCAATTCAGAGACTGGCTAGTACCTAGGACATCCAACAGATAGAAACCACTTGCCAGATTTGGAGAGAGGAGACTAGGCCTGAAGGGAGTCAGTTGGTCACCAGTTCTCTGCCTCTACTGAGGACTACATCAAAACTGGCCAGACCTGCTTAGATTTAAAATAAAAGAATGAAGACCATTTCACCTGAAAATAGAAGACTGTGATAGAGTCTATAGCTGTCTTCAAGAATCTTGAGACTGTACACGGTGGCTCACGCCTATATTCCCAGCACTTTGGGAGGTGGAGGCGAAAGGATTTCCTGAGTTCAGGGATTCAAGACTAACCTGAACAACATGGTGAGACCTTGTATCTATAATAAATCAAAATATTAGCTGGACATGGTGATGCACACCTGTAGTTCCAGCTACTTGGAAGACTGAGGCAGAAGGATCACCTAAGCCTAGCAGGTCGAGGCTGCAGTGGCCATGAGTGTACCACTGCACTCCAGCCTGGGCAACAGAGTGAGACTCTGACTCAGAAAAAGAAAGAAAAAAAAAATCTTGAGCAGTGCCACATATAAAAAGTAGACAATTCCAGGTTGTTCCAGAAAACTATGATGAACAGGTGAAGGTTATAGCAGTCGAGGTTTCAGCTCAGTGAAGAACTTTAATCAGGGGGCTCAAGCAGTAATGACGTGAGCCTTCATGAAAACTAATGAACACCCATCCTAGAAGGGTTTGAGAGATCTTATGACCTCACTTCCAGTCAGAGAGATTCCTGTGTTAGCCAAAAGTTTATGCTGCATGGTCTCTGAAGTCTTGTACGAAGCTGAGATTCTGTAATCAAAACATAGTGGATATGTTTTGGTTGGGGAAATGAGACACCTGTTTTATCTGGTAAACTAACACTGTAATCAGTGATGTGGCTAAGAAGTTCTTCCTAATGTGTAACCAGACTCCCTCTTCTTGTAATTTTATACTATCTGCCATCTCCTCCTGCTAATGACAGCAGAGACTGGTGACATTGGTGAGAGTTCCAGCTCTCTCCGACTACTGCCAGCTTTCTCTTTTTCTTTCTTTCTTTTTTTTTTTTTTTTTGAGTTGGAGTCTCACTCCATTGCCCAAGCTGGAGTACAGTAGCATGCTCATGGCCACCCCAGCATCAACCTGCTGGGCTCCAGCAATCTTTCCACCTCATCCTTCCAAGTAACCAGAACTACAGATGCTCACTACTATGCCCAGCTATTTTAAAATTTGATTTTATTGTAGAGGCAAGATCTCGCCAAGTTGCCCCGGGGCTCAGGCAATTTACTCACCTCAGCCTCCCAAAGTGCTGGGATTATAGGCTGAGCCACAGAGCCTGGCCAACTTTCTCTTTTTCTAGCTTTTTTTTTTTTTTTTTTTTTTTGGTGTGGTGTGATCCTCATTTGATCTTCACTCTCCTTTGAGATAAGCAGGTGTATCCATATCACAGTGGAGGACACTGCAGCTGAAAAGATAGGGATGTGTTGAGAGGGGGATCCTTCTCTTAGGGATTGTTTTTGAAAAATATCAAGTCCTGAACCATTGGCGTTTTTAGCTTTGTGAAACAGTAACTAATGCTGCTCTTTTGTTCTAGAAGAGCAAGAAAGGTTGGGGTGAAGATGAGCCAGATGAAGAATCACACACCCCTCTCCCGCCACCTATGAAGATTTTTGACAACGACCCCACACAGGATGAAATGGTAGAACTCCTTAACTTCTTTACGTGAAGGAGCAATGTGTAATACCTGTGATTTTGTTTATGTGTGATGAGGACAATAATGCTTTTTCTCCTTCGAGATCTCTCAGCCCACATGGATCCTTGGTGATAGAGTTTCTGTCTGTATTTGGCAGATGTCCTCTCCCCCAGCCGTGGAGGTTTCACTTCATTCTGGGCAGTGTAGGGATTGTGTGTGGAATTGTCAAGGTGGAAATCTGCCTGGTGTCTCTTCCTGGCAAAAAAGGTTAATTAATGGCTCTGTCTTTGGAAGCAGCAGATCCTAAAAGGAACTATTTTAGGATCTGCTACTTTATAAAATCCGATATTTTATATCAAAATAGGTGGCTCCAGGTCACAACCGCTCTGTTGTTTTAGTTGTTTTCCCTGTACTCAACTCTAAAATCTAAATAATGGTGGCTTCCAGTCAAGCTCAGTGATGTTCAACTTCTGCAATGACAGCATGAGGAATGGAGATGCTGCTCAGGGGAGATGGTTGTCAATGTGGGCACACTTAACTTGCCAAGTTGCCCAGCTTTGCTTTGCAAAATTCCCTGCCTTGCTGGCATGCAGAGGCTCACTGGTGTCTGAAATATCAATGCCCACTGGGCTTCTAATCTCCTGGTGATCGTCCCAGTTGTTCTGGAGTGGGGGCTTAGGTTTTATGTGTTTCCAGGTCCTGACTGGAGGTTAGAGACTGCTCTTATATTCCCGTCACTCGCTTTCCTTGCAGCCATACTTTGATTTATTTGTGTTTTTCTTGCCGTGTTATCAGTCCTCTTAGACTTTGGACCCTGAATTGGTGCTCTCAGGTTTTTTGTTTTTGTCTTTTTTTTTTTAACTAGGAAAGGTAGATTTATTAAAGGAAAGATACATTGTGAAGGGCACACCAGGCAGGATGACAGTAAGAGTGTCTGCTGTTTAGTTTAGTTTAGTTTAGTTTAGTTTTGTTTTGTTTTGTTTGAGTTGGAGTCTCACTCCATCACGTTGACTGGAGTGCAGTGGCTCGCTCACAGCCACCCCAGCGTCAACATGCCAGGTTCCAGCGATCCTTCTGCCTCAGCCTTCCAAGTAGCCAGAGATATAGGCATGCGCTACCATGCTTGGCTAATTTTTTGATTAATTGTAGAGATGAGGTCTTGCAAAGTTGCCCAGACTGTTCTTGAACCTGTGGGCTCAGGCAGTCCCCTCACCTTGGCCTCCCAAAGTGCTGGGATTACAGGTTTGAGCCATCGCACCTGGCTCACTGTTAGTTTTTGACTGGACTGTACTTCCTATTTGACTTTTAGAGTGTCATTTTATTATAGTTGTGGTGGTGGTGGTGGTTGCTTGCCTGGTTATCCCTCCAGGCTCTTCTTGTGCTTGCTAGTGGTCTGCCTTATAGTGGAGAAGCCTCCTTCAAACTTTATAATACTGCTAGGATGCAAGTGAAAAAGTACTGTCTGCAGATGTCAGTGGTTCTGGTTATATCCCAGATCGTATTTTAATACTCTTGGCTTTGTGTTTGAATTATCAACCCACAGACATTGATTGAGGTCTTCCTCTGTGCTAGGCTGGAGGGACAGAGTCTAGGAACAGGCCAATGACTAAGATGTGGTATCTGCCCCCAACATGTCTTGCCCAGTTGTGGCCTCTCCTGAAGTGACGTTGGTGGCCCCAGTCTTCAGGGCCAGCTCTCTGACTGTGGACTGTTGAGAGGCAGGCAGCATGGCATTGTGCCCATCCTAGACTCCCAGAGACCCAGCCTGCTGGGCTCCTAGAGGCCTGCCCTTGTAACATGTTGTATAAACAGTGATAGTGGATTGGACCGTAGGATGCTGGTATCCCCCACAGCCTTCCCCACCGAAGGCCCAGCTTGCATAAGATAAGTAAAGGTCATGAACCCGCTCCTTCTAATTCCCTGAAACGTAGCTTGTTGGGTGAAATGGGTGTTGCATTTTTTCAGGATAATGTTAAATTGAGAATGCTGACTTACCTCCAGAAGTTTGTGTAACCCTTTTATTAGCCAGAAATAGGGCCGGTAGCAACAGTCTCTTTTTAGACACATTAACTCTTCTTGGTCTTGCTTGTTTGATTTGTATATGTTTGTTTTTCTGGACTATATGGGAGTAGGTAAGCCCCAGAATTTATAGCACATAGAACTGGATTTATTAAAACAATTTTTACAACAATGTAAAAGGAATTTTTTAAAGCTCACCCATTGTAATATTGTGTAGTTAATTTAATTCTTGGTGTTTCCTTCTTATTCTTTTCATATGCATGTAGGTTTTACTTTTATTATTATATTATGCATATGATGTGTTCAATGTTTTATTTTCTACTATTTCCTAAAATCTTATTAATTTTTCCTCATAACTATAATTTTAATAGTTGGAGAAAATTTTTCTTATTGGACATTCCATAATTTGCTTAATTGGCCCCTGCATGGGACATCTTAACAGAGTGCTTCCTATCTTCACTACTCTGGATAGTACTACTGCATACAGTAGTACTACAGATCACTGTGTATATAGCATTTGTTCATTTGATTTCTGTTGTTGGAATAAGTTACCAGGGAAAGGATTACTAGATCAAAAAGATGATAATTTGGTTTTCCTTACACACTTAAGCTATTAAGTATTCCCCTTAAGCTTAAGTATTTCCTAGGAGAGGAAAAGGGGTATTATTGTATCTTTCTTAATTACAATTATTTTCCTCCATCTCAGAAGCAAAGACTTAGAGTAATTCTAGAAGCTTCACTTTTTAAACTCTTCCCCTAACCTAAGGGACAAACTTGAAGTCAGAGCAAGGCCAGGACATTCAGCTTCCTACACCCATAGTCATTACCACTGAAGACTAAAGGAGTCTGTGTCCTGGCCCTGGGAACACCACTGCCCTCTGCTCTGATAAGCTATGGGTAAAAGTACACACGTGCTTTGCAGGGTTAACCATTTCTTCCCCACTTTCTTCTCAGGTAGAAGAAGGAAGAAAAACCAAACAAATAAAAAACCACCATCCCTCAGCGAGCAGGAATCCCCAAACCATTGGCCAACAACCGCATGAACAAGTCTTTTATTGCTGGTGCATGGGGAAGAGGGGCACAGTGAGGTCCTTTAATCAAACCCCTCTTCACGGTGAACAGAAAGGTTCCTGGCAACTCCAGCATGGAACATACAACTCCTGCTAAAGCCTGTTATTCATTCTTGATATTCCAGTTCAGGGGCCTTACCAAAGCCAGCTATTATGTTTTATGAAAGGGTTGGGGGGGGTGTGTATGTGAGAGAGGGGATATCCAGGCTCTCTAAAGTCCTAGTCCTATTCCTAGCAGGACTATTTCTCTTCTTTGAACTCACTTGAGGCTAGGTTAATCGAACCCTTCCTACCCTGAAACAGCAATGGGCAGCTGTGTAGTGGCCAAAGTCTTGTTTGCCCTCAGAGCAGTCGCCTCCACTCTCTACCTTGTTACTGTCAGTAGGTACAGCTCTTGCCTGTTGGCTTCCCAGGAACGTGGTGGCCCTGCCTGCGAGGGGTCTTCGGAGTCCTGAGAAGAACCTAGTCCCATCCATTTACTGCTGTCCAAAATTCCTGACAAAGGCTCAGGCAGGCCCATCCCACAACCGTGCTACACCCACCTCCCCCTGTTATCTCTTCCTTCTGAACACAGAGCTTTGCTTCCCTTGCTTGCCTTGAACTTTGGACTTTCTGTGTTGCCTCCTAATCACTGTTCCTCATTCCTTGCTAATCTGCTTTTCCTCTGCTGCCCAATGTCTTGCAGTCCTCCTCTTTGCTAGCAGCCCGGCAGGCTTCCACTGAAGTACCTACTGCTGCAGACCTTGTCAGTGCAATAGAAATGTTGGTCAAAAGCAAGCTGGTAAGTGGGGGTCCTGGAGGCAGTCCTGTGTGTGTCTCACCTCCACATGGCTCCCCGGGCCTTGCATCTATCTGCCGTGTTCTCTGTTGCACCTGTCCTCATTCTTCTATGTAATGTTTCCAGCTAATGATGGTTTCTAAAAAGCTGTGCCCTGGAGTCCTTTTTGATTTTGTTTGGAAATGGGCATGGGGAGTTACTAGGCCATCTGAGGTCGTGATGTTGATGAAAGGTGAAGTGTCCCAGGCAAACTAGCCTGTTCCAGTGGCCCACAGGCACACGGCGTTCAGTCGGTGACTGACGTGTGTCTGGTTAGCCCTGAAGCTGCTGACACACTGAACATGGATTGGACCTTTGAAAGGACCAGAAAATTTTATTTGGGGACATCAGCCTTCTGGTTTGCAAAAGTAGAGAGTTGATTATCCATGGGGAATGGGCAAAAGTGCATGGACACCTTGCAAGAAATTAAGAGAGCTGGTGTCTATCCTCATCATGGGGGTGGAAACAGGACATAAGCTACTGGCAAATGATCTAGTCTGTGACAATCTCATGGACCCATCAGCCCACTGAAGGGAAGAGTGATGAATCTGAGCTGCTTCAGGCCTTTGGCATAATACCGGTGGCCCCTTTCTGGAGAGCTCATGCGAGTAGAGCTGTTCCTCTACCCCCATGGTTTCATATTTGAGTGTATCACTACACCATGACAACTGGAAGCATTTTCTTTTCCTTCACTCTCATTCTTGTCATCTATTTGGCTATTCCTGCAACTCTCATTAGGGTAAATGTCTGTGCTTCTGCCAGACTTCTGTTGGGTAGTCTGGACAAAGCCATTTCAGCCCATCCCCACTTGGCCCGGGAGTGAAAGGAAAATGACGATCTGGTCTAGGGAAAGCTGCCTGATCGTTTTGATTCCAGTCATTTCCTTTTCAGATATCCCAGCTTACAGTGTACAAATGAGGTGTAGTACATATGATCTGATTATTTTCCTTCTAGATTTTTCTTCCTAATTAAAAAAAAAAGCTGTTTTTAGTAATATTGTCAAACTCTCGAAGGTTGTGTATTTTCCTGCCAGTAAGAGTTAAATGCTCTTGTGGACACTGCACTGACTTTTCAAAAGACTCCTCTCTGGCTATTCCCCATTTGCTCTCCCTTTCCCGCCACACTGACCTATACACCCTCTTCATTCTCCAAATACCTGCTTTATTTATTTATTTTCTTAATCAAATTTTTTCCCTTTTTTATGTTGTTATTTTTGGGTGTACAAAAAATTATCTCTGTAGATATTCCTTTTTTTTCTGAAATTTCTCCTATTATTGATTTCTAGTTTCATACCTATTTTTTTTAAAGATGTAGGGTACATAATTCAGGGTTAGGTCCATAAGTGGTCATTGTACAAGTGAAGTTTGGGCCTCCCATTTGTCCTCACTTTGCCTGGTTTGGGATCAGGTACCCTTATTAGTGTTATGTGCCACCCCCTCCTTCCCCAGCAGTGACCCACTCCTGCCAATCCCTTTCATGTAGTATTGTGATAAATGTTCAGGGTCCACTTATGAGTGAGAACATGCAGTACTCAGTTCTTTGTTTCTATGATAAATCACTGAGTATGATGGGCTCTAAATCCATCCAAATTGCTGCAGAGTTCATAGTTTTGTCCTTCTTTATAGCTGCTTAATATTCCATTGTGTATATGTACCACATTATTTTTTATCAGTCCGCTTTTAATGGGCAGCACTGTTGGTTCCATGTTTTTGCTATTGAGAATAGTGCTGCAATAAACATGCATATGCAGGTATTTTGTAGAATGATTTGAGTTCCTCTGGGTTTTTTCTTTTGCATTTTTCTCTTTTACCACTTGAGCCTGGCCTGTAACCTCATGCCTGAACTCTTACAGCAGCTCCTGCTTGATCTTTCCTTACCCAGCCTGCCTCCACATCTCACCCTCCAATCCATCTTCCACAGCACTGCTTCCTGCCTCCCTCCTTGGTGAAGGCTCTCTGCCTTCCTCTTGCCTACACACGCAGTGGTCTCCGATGTGGGGGTTCCCTCAGGTACACAAGACAGTTTATTGCAGTATGGGAAGAAAATATTAGAGTCGCTTTTTATTACCATTTTAAAATGGTTTCATATGTGTTTTATTGTGTGCCTAATGATAGTACTGTAGCATAGATATATAATTTATTTTTAAAATCACATGTTTTGGAGGTTCATGAACAAAATTATGTCCACTGACAGAGGTATGAAATCAAAGTTTAGAAATCCCTGGCTTATCAATAAAGTCCATCATTACCCAGTAATCTGAGGTTTTGTAGCCTTTCTCCAGCCCAGCCTTCCAACATCCCCTTATCATTCAGATTGATCAACTCTGCTCTATCCAAATTGCTTTCCTCTTGTCCTCAAGCACACATCTGGCTTTCCTTCCTCCAGGTTTTTGTTCCTACCACCCTACTTTTCTGCAGTGTTCTCCCTCTTATTTCTGCTTATCTAGGCCATAAAGGTCCCTCAAATCTTCTCTCTCTACAAGAACTCTCCTGACCAGTGCAGGTCAAATTTCTTTTGTAATCCCTTGGCAATTACTAAAGTCACATTCTGCCTGGAACAGCTCTTGGCCCTGCTGTGTTACTTGTTAAAATATATCACTGTAGATATTTCATTAGCAGTTTACCTCCCCAGCTAGATGGTAAGTTATTTAGGACATTATTATTGTTTTCCTCCATTCGTATACAATGGAGGAAATGTGACAATGGACAAGAGTCTTTTACACGTATTGAGTTTCTCATGAACACTTATTTCCAAAATCTGTATTTATATTTTGGATTACCATTTTTCTACTACTACTATGCTGCTGACCTCTGAGCTGTTGAGAGTCCCCTTGGGCCTCTAGTTTGTGTGATCAATGGGTCTGATATTAAACATGTAAGCAAAGAGATTAAGAAGTCCCATCAGAGCAAATGTCCCAGGGAAGAGGGAAGGTGGGATGGCACTGGAGTTGATTGGCCTTATAACAGGCTGTCAGTAAATGTCTGTTGAATTGATGTCCTTTATGTGGTAAGTTACCATAATAAGAAATTTAACATCTTCCACCGATAACTACCGTTGAGGACCTACAGTGAGCCTTGAATTAGAGATTTCTTTGGCTTAACATATGGGGGGAGGGGACCCAAAAAAACCTCAGGAATTTATTTGTAAAAAATTGTGCTTTATTCTTACTTTATTCTTTTTTTTTTGAGTTGGAGTCTCACTCCATTGCCCATGCTGGAGTCCAGTGGCATGCTCATGCCACTCCAGCATCGACCTGCTGGGCTCCAGCGGTCCTTCCGCCTCAGCCTTCCAAGTGACCAGAACTACAGGCATGCACTACCATGCCTGGCTAATTTTTGATTTACTGTAGAGACGAGGTTGCCAAGTTGCCCAGGTTGTTCTCTAACCAGTGGGCTCAGGCAATCCACATGCCTCAACCTCCCAAAATGCTGGGATTACAGGTTGAGCCACCAAGCCCAGCCTATTTTTACATGTTTAAACTTCAGTCACCCTCAAAGTACTCTCTGTTGATGCAATACACCTATTGAGACTCTTTTTCCACTGCTCAAAACAGTTTTTGAACTTGTTAATTGTGATGCCTTTTAGTGTTTCAGCCTTTTTTGGTTTCACCTCTTGCACATCAGCAACATGGTTCCCTTTGAGGACTCTTCATTAGGAAACAAAAAAGTCCCTGGGGCAAGATAGGGTGAATTGAGAGCATGGAGGGGGAGGTCTTGCTGTTTAAAAAAAAAAAACTCAATGGGGGCAGGGCACGGTGACTCGCGCCTGCAATCCCAGCACTTTGGGAGCCCGAGGCAAGAGGATTGCCTGAGTCTGGGGGTTTGAGATTAGCCTGGGCAACTTGGTGAGACCTTGTCTCTACAGTAAATAAAAAAAACTAGCCAGGCATGGTGACGTACCCCTGTGACTCCAGCTACTTGGAAGGCTAAGGCAGAAGGAACACCTGAGCACAGCAGGTTGAGGCTGCTGTGGCCATGAGTGTGCCACTGCACTCCAGCCTGGGTGACAGAGTGAGACTCCAAATAAAAAAAATCTCAGTGGTGTGGGCAGGTGTGCTCGTAAATTACCCATCATGAAATGGGCAAATGCATTGAAAGAATCTCAACAACAACAACAAAATTTTACTGAAGGCCGGGCTCAGTGATTCAGCCTGTAATCCCAGCATTTTGGGAGGCCAAGGCGAGTGGTTTGCCTGAGCCCGTGGGCTCAAGACCCACCCAGGCAACTTGGTGAGACCTCGTTTCTACAATAAATCAAAAATTAGCTGGGTATGGTGGCACGCACCTGTAGTTTCGGCTACTTGAAAGACTGAGGCAGAAGGATCGCCAGATCCCAGCAGGTCGAGGCTGCGGTGACTGGGAACATGCCACTGCACTCCAGTATAGGCAACAGAGTGAGCCTCCAACTCAAAAAAAAAACTTACTGAAGCTGAATGCAGCCTCTCACAACAATGCTAGCTGGTATGCTGATGCCAGTGTGTTCCATGAACACTAACCTAGCAGGATTCCGTGAACCCTTACCTAGCAGGGAAAGCCTGTACTAAAAAGAGACCGCCGTCCAAAAAATAATTCCAGGTTTTTTGAGGTTTCTCCTGTCTAAAGCCAAGTCTATATTACAGAAAGGAGTGAGAGAGCAATCGTTTGGTTTCTTAGAATTTTATCACCAAAATTTCATTCTTTGGCCTCTCCTCTGCTTTCTCTTTCTTCCCATCCCACATGACCTAGCAATGGAACACCAGTAGGTTGAGTATATTTCAGCCACGTTTGGGAACACTAAGTTGCATTTTCACCTCCAAGACTCTTATTCCTATTCCTTAGCAGCTCTTCAGCTTAGAAGAAAAGATCAAGAGCCCATAAAAGTTCTGGGGTATTGCCGGGCTTGGTGGCTCAGCCTGTAATCTCATGCCTTTGGGAGGCTGAGGTGAGTGGATTGCCTGAGCCCGCGGGTTCAAGACCCGCCTGGGC